CTGGGACCTTCCGAGTCAGTTCCCATATTGATTGTTCTGATTTTCAGTTTCCTCTTCATTACTAGGATTTATTTCTTATCATGTTAACTTTAAGGGTGTATATATTACATGTTTTCTTTTTGATTACTAGTTAGTGGCAACTTAGTGAGGCTTCAATCATTTGAAGTTAAAAAATAAGTAGCCTGCCCAGTGTGGCTTAGTGGTTAAGCGTTGACCTATGAACCAGGAGGTCACAGTTGATTCCTGGTCAGAGCACATGCCTGGGTTGCAGGCTCGATCCCCAGTGGGGAGCGTGCAGAAGTCAGCCAATCAATAATTTTCTCTCATCATTGCTGTTTCTATCTCTCTCTCCCTCTCCCTTCCTCTCTGAAATCAATAAAAAATAAAATAAGTAAATAAGTACCTAAATACAGATAAGAAAAAGGGTATTAATAAAGATATTGCCAGTAATGAAAGGAAACAGTGGTTGGGTAATGGGACTGTGGAATGAAAAAAGCAAGAGAGGAAGAGTGGGATCCAGGCAGATGAGGATAGGGATAGTAAAACTAATAATCACCATTTACTAGGTGCTGACTATGTGCAGGGCACTTTGCATGTGGTGTCTTATGATCTTCCCTTTAAGAAAGGAAATAGTATCCCCATGGTCCAGAGAAGGAAAGTGGAGCTCAGGAACCAGAGTGTGAGAGAGCTGATTTTAATTGTCTACGCCTTCCATTAAACCCTGCTGCTTCCCTTAGTATGTAGAACACATTGGATTCTTGTGAGAAGAGTAAGGCTAAGATTATTATAGTCTCTTTGAATGAACTTCTTGTTCCTGATCTTACTGCTGTTTTGTAGTAAGAGTGTGCTACTATACATACATACATACACATATACATATACGTATGTGTTACACCTATACATACAAATACACAAATATACTTGTATATGATGATATTGGTAATTTTATCTACGTCTACATCTCCGAAGCAGGATTCTTAGTGGTGATTCAGGCTGTATGTGCTCTCATGCCTGTCTGCTTTTGTCAGTGGGAATCAGCTGGATGCCAGGCCTGGACACTCTTGAGCAGGGTTCTGCAGATGTTTCTGTAAATATTTCTGGCTTTGTAGGCCATATGTTCTCTTGCTGCAACTACTCAGCTCTGCTGTTATAGCAGGAAAGCAGCTATAAACAATACATAAATGAGTGGGTGTGGCAGTATTCCAATTAAATTTTATTTACAAAAAGGGCAGTGGTCCATATTTGGTCCATGGGCTGTAGTTTGCTGACCCCTGCTCCAAGTCTGCTCCATGATGAAATGTCATGATCACATCCATGTACCCACAAACGAAGGCTCCCGCTGTACTTAGGGAACTCCCAGAGGCTGTCTGGGTGGAGCAGAACGAATCTGATGGCAACTCTTGGAACTCCAGGAAGAGTCAAGAGAAAATAAGATGGAATTCTCTGGCACACAACTCTTCTCTTATCCCAGTCTGACTGCAAAGAGAAGCTAGACAATGTTGGTGTTGGCCAGGGAGCTTTTCATAAAGAGAGTTATAGTATTGCATTGGACTTTTTGAATCATCCTTGTCTTCCCACAGTCTAGTGGGACTGGTAAAAAACCAAAGTGAGGTTGGGTTTTTGGGTTATTATATGTTAGATAGAGAAGTGTGTGAGTTTTAAAGGAAAAAAAATTAAGTTAGATTTAGTTTTCATTTTAATAGTTAGTTTCATAATTTTACAAAAAGACATGATGGTTGGCCAAGTAGTGGTTTTTCTAGTCATGACAACTTCCCTTTTGATTACCTTTTATCTTAGTTTCATCAAGGGAAATAACAGGTTGGCTGAATTTAAATCGGCACCCACTGACCTGAATTGACTGCTCAAGAATCTGGGGCCCAGAGAATAGATGGGTTCTGACTAACTCTGCCCTAAGCATGGAGGTTAAATGGATTCACTTTGCATGCAGCATACCATTTACAGAAATCATGGTGAATCTTAGTTTGCTTCTAGTTTGGACCAGGACTTTCTTATATAGTTTTTGTTCATTTGTTTTCTTCCTGAAGTTTCTAATTGTCTTTCTGGTTTTGTGTTGATAAAAAGATAATGTTCCTTCATCTTACAATTCAATCACTCCAGCTTCCATTTTAAGTAACATTTTCTATTTCTTTTTCTGAATATGGAATACATTCCCAAGGGTCAAACATCAGGAATCCTAAAACAATCTCCTTCTTACTTTATTCCTATATTTGCTCAGTTCCCACAATAGGTAACCACTATTAGTTTCTTAGTAATTCTTTCATTAAACTTTTATGCAAATGAAAGCCAGTGCACACAATTATTTTTTCCTTTCCCTCTTGCACACCAGGGGCAAAAAATATTTTTCTGCATCTTGCTCTTCACTTAACAATATACCTTGGTGATCTTTCTGTGTTAACCCATAAAGAGCTTTTTCATGTGTTTTTATAGTGGAGTTTTGTTTTTTTTTTTTTGCAGTTTTCATTACTATACCTGTATTAATGACCATCGTATATTTTACCCTTATGTTATTGACATTCTTATCTTTGGCTAATGCCAACATTGATGCGAATAATCCTGTACATCCTGCACATCACAGTCATTTTGCATATGCCTAAGTATAGGATGAATTCCTAGAATAAATTCCTGGGTCAAAGGTTATATCCACTTGAGTTCTGAAAGTGATTGGCAATTTGTTCTCTATACAGGTTGTGCCAATTAGAACTCCCAATAGAAATATATGAAAATACATGTTCCCTTAAAGCGGCAACATCACACCATTCCAAAGTCCTTTGTATTTTTGCTAGTCTGATAGGTGAGAAATAATAGCTAAGTGTAGCTTTAATGTACATTGCTTTTATTATAAATGAAGTTGAGCATCTTTTCATGTTTTATGAGTTGTTTATAAATTTTTAATTTTTTATATTCTTTTTAATTTTTTTATTGGAGTTTAGTTTTTCTTGTCTGTGTCTAGGACATTTTATAATGTGGGAAGGTTAGCCTCCTGCTTTCCTATGAATTGCATATATTTTCTTGATTTGTCATTTATCTTTTGCTATTTTGATTATTTAATAAGTTAAATTTGACTTTGGGTATAGTAGTTCTTTTTTGTCTTGCAGTACATCTTTGTTTTGTGTTTTTACTGCAGTCACATTTAACAATCTTTACTTGTGGCTTTTCAAGTTTGTGTTTCAATTAGAGGTCTTTTTCATTCCAAAGTCATAAAGAAAATTCCCCTCTATTTTATCCACTATTTGGTGATTATTTTACTTTACATTTCAAGATTTGGTCCTTTGGGGATTTATCCTAGTTTACAATATGAGATATGGATCTAACTACAGTCTCTCTCATTATTCACAGATTCTGTATTTGCAATTCACCCACTTGCTAAAATTTATTTGTAACCCCAAATCAATACTTGCAGTCTTTGCTGTCACTTGCAGACATACAGGAGTGATGAAAATTTGAGTTGCCTGACACATGCCTGTTCCCAGCTGGGGTTGTTCTGTCTTCTTGCTTCAGCTCTAGTACGATAAACAAGTGTCCTTTTCATGGCCTATTTAATACCACATTTTTTGCATTTCCATGCAGTTTGTTGGTGATTTTGCTGTTTAAAATGATCCCTAAGTATGGTGCTAAAATGCTGTCTAATGTTCTCCAGAACAAGAAAGCTATGATGTGCTTTTGGAGAAAATACGTTAGATAAGCTTTGTTCAGGCATGGGTTATAGTCCTGTTGGCCATGAGTGAGTGTTAATGAGTCAACCATGTATATTAAGGTGTCTTTACACAGAAACACACGTAAAACAAGGAATGTGTTGGTCAGTTGTTGATAATGTGACCAGAGACGTACAGAAACCTAACCCTGTATTTCTCCTTAGTAAAAATGGTTCACTCTTCACTAAGTCAGTGTTTGCAGCATCTTTATAGAATACAACTACTGCTAATGAGAATCGACTATGGTTTTTCAAGATGCTATTAACTGCCCCAACACTGTCTCTGAATAGCTCACCTTTTCTCACTGAGATGTCACCTTTATCATACACTAAAGGCTCATTTCTTATTTTGTTTTATTGGTCAGTCTGTGAATTCATGTACCGAGACCACATGAAACTTTATTTTAAAATAGTTATAAAATCTGCTAAGCATACTTTCCCCTTCATTTCTCTTTTTAAAAGAGTTTTCCAGGTTATGTTTGTTTTTGTCCTTCTGTTCCTCCTTTGGCCTGTGGACCTTCCTATGCTTCTGTTTTAGCCAGTGTTCTTTAGTTGAAGTAACAGAATCTCACTCGTATATTAGCTTTGAAATTAAGGAGGCGACATAAGGAAGATTACATGGAGGTGGGAAAGAGATGGGATTGCAGGATACTGAACAAGATTGTGTGCCCTCTTGATGGTGGTTGTGGCTTACTTTATTTTAATTTTTTAAAATATATTTTTATTGACTTTGGAAAGGAAGGAGAGGGGGGAAGAGAGATAGGAACATCAATGATGAGAAAAAATCATGGATCAGCTGCCTCCTGCATACCCCCTACTGGGGATGGAGCCTGCAACCCGGGCATGTGCCCTGACTGAGAATCTTACTGTGACTTCCTGTTTCATAGGTTGAAGTTCAACCACTGAGCCACACCAGCTGGGTGGTTGTGGCTTATTTTAAAAGTGTGTTAACCTAGATGCACAGAAACAATGGAGAGGGCTTGCTTAAGGCAAAGATAAACTTTTACTAAAAAGTTACATATCTAGGGAGTGACTACCTACTCTGATCTGCCCACTTAGAAATTTATGATCAGATCACCCTGTGAGGTTGCTTTCCATGTAATCCTCTATTTCATCCATGCAGAATAGGTGGGTGTTGCAAAATCCAAGGATCTGACCAGTCCTGAGCATAGATGCCCTTGGGAGCCTGGGTCAGGGTCCTTCAGAGACAGTCTGGCCCCATGTGGTCTCTCTCTCTCTCTGTTTCTGTTCACCTGGTCGGTTCATTCCTCTCTTTTTCTCTCTACAGAAATGGTTTCAGGCCTCTCGATCAACAGGACAAAAGATGGCTACCCCATTGCTGCCAAATTACATCTCTTCAATTCAAGTGACCAACCAGGTCAAGAGACAACAGCATCTAAACTCCTGGGAGGATCTGATTTGTTCAGTTTGGGTCAATTAGTGGGGGTCAGGGAGCAGGGCATATGTTCAGATAATTCTACTTTTGCAGCCAACAGAATGCAGGCGTAGCTGGAAGGCAGTTATGGGCTGGGCAGATGACTTCATCACTATAGCTCATCATTGTCATTTCCATGCCATCCCGTTCCCTTTATTCTTTTCATTCTGGTTCTAAAGTCTTCTAAGGTTTTGATGCCCTGTGGTACCAACAAAGCCAGGATGCTGTTTCCCTCCCTAGAAACAATTGTTCCTTAAACAATTATTTCTCTCCGAGTAGTCCCTGCTTTTTAAGCTCCTTAGCCTGGCTTGCTGGCCTTGGGAGGGACTGCTAGTTTTGCCTTCAGGAGCGTTAGTTAGATAGGGCCTCACTAACAAAACCAGTGACCTGGTTCATCTCTCAGCCTTTGGGGATGACTATCTTTTTGCAAACACTTGGGGAGAAGATAAAACAAAGAGAGACGATTCAACTCCATAGCTCCCAGTGTCTCCATTCCCTCCATATCCTAGCCTAATGGTGCTAGGATACAATAGTCTTAACCACCGAGTTACCACTGTGGATGAATAAGTGGTGCTGTAATAAATCATAAATTCCTATCGGGCAGGTCATGGTGAATAGTCACTCCCCAGGCATAGCTTTTTAGTAAAAGGCTTATCCTTGCCTTAAGCAAGCCCTGTCTATTATTTCTGTGCATCTAGGTCAGTGGTTCTCAACCTTCCTAATGCTGAGACCCTTTAATACAGTTCCTCATGTTGTGGTGACCCCCAATTTCATTGTTACAAATTGAACATAATTAAAGCATAGTGATTAATCACAAAAACAATATGTAATTATATATGTGTTTTCCGATGGTCTTAGGTGACCCCTGTGAAAGGGTCGTTCGACCCCCAAAGGGGTCGCGACCCACAGGTTGAGAACCGCTGATCTAGGTGATCACACCTCTGAAATGCCTTTTTTCAGAGGCCTCCTTCTAAAACATAACCACCCTCAAGGGAGCAAATAGTCTTAAGTATCCTGCAGTCCAATCCCACTTTGCTTTCTCCCACCTTCACGTAATCTTCCGTAAATTCTCTCCTTAATTCCAAATGCATAAAAGAACTGCAAAATGTTTATCACCAGAGCATTTGAGATCCTGCTCCCTGGCATATGTCGTCAGCTTGGCTCAAACTTATGAAAACTCTACAGGTTTGGACGTTTCTTACGTCGACATTGCAGAGAACTCTTCCCAAGTGCCATTCCCTGGTTCCAATGCCACCGAGTGGGACAGGAAGTCAGAGCACAGGGCTCCCTCTTCACATAGGGAGCATCTCTCAGTATTACTGGCACAAGAGATATTTGGGGTACACACAGACATCTGTGCTCCGACAGCTTGAAGCTGAAACCTTTTTTTTTTTTAGCTTGGTGACAAAAAATTTGTATGAGCTTCTCTTTAGGGAAAAACGTGACTATCACGGTTTCTAATTTTAAACAGAAAATCCACTTTCCACCATCATCCTTGATCAGAAGTAGTCTTTTCGAAAAACTGGAGGGAATGCAGGATTCTAGTGAATTCACCTGATCTCTAGAGAGTACATTTTAAACAACACAAGGAAGTACTTGAGGAAAATGAAAATGCATTGGGTTGGAGTTCTCTTTCCTGGGGAAGACCAGAAAAAGCTGCAGGTGGGGGAGATGAGAGGAGGAGGGGGTTGGGAAAATCCCTCGGAAGTCATTTTCTTGAGTATCAGAGAAGAGGAAGGAGCATAAAGATCAGCTGAAGAAGTGGGACTCCTTGATGAGATTCTTGTAATGAACTCCCATCCCGACGGTGCTGCAAGTGGTCCGTCGAATCCAAGGCCTGGGCAGCTGTAGGGAAGAACGGACAGTGCCAGTTCCTGCCTCTGAGCAAGGGCAGAGACCTCGCTGGTCCTCTGCAAAGCATCCTCAGGCCAACAGCGCTCCACACATTTTTCCGAGACGTTGGATCATTTGCAATTTGCCCCACGACTCCCACACATTTGCCTCTTACTGTCCCAAAGCTCTCGCTGCTGCAACGTTCCCATAGGAATGTGGACGCCTGCCAAGCGACCTCATGAACATTCCATTCATCTCCTTGGCTGGGAGGCAGCAAGGAAGCCAAATGGGCTGGTTGTTTAACTGTTTGGGTCCCAAATTCACCCTGAAATGAATGGTCAAGCTTGTTGAACTTTTCCAACAATCATGCAGAAAAACAAAAGATAAAACCAAAGAGAAGTATGCATTTATTCATATGATCCCATCTGAAAAACAGCTATTTTTAAAGGTAGCCAAATGAAAACCACATTCTCTGATTTTCCTTATTGTGAAATCACCCTCCACCAGAAAGGCATTTTGAAGTAATGAGGCTTTGTGAGGTGTGACTAAAAACAATGTGACTAATTTTTTTTTTTTTTTTTTTTTTTTTTTAGCAAACGCAGCAGAATACAGCCATCCAAATGAAGGTTGTTGTCTTCCAAGTAATTCCAAGACGCTCAAACATGTAAAAATCCTTTTAGGGAATTACTGGCCAAGTCTTGCTCTCACTGTTTTGCTTTCTGTTGATCATTCATTCAGCATGTATTAGACACCTCCCGGGTGCCAAACCCTCTGCCAGGTCCAGGATATAGAGTGAGGAGAGAGATGCAATCTCATTGCATGTTTGATGAAGGAGGCCCCCTGGGGCCGGTGGAAAAAGTTAGCCCAACCTAGGTTTGAATCCCAGTTTAGCCTGTGCGGGTTGTGTAACCTCAGGCAACTTTCCTAAACTCTTTGAGTCACAATGTCCTCATGTCTAAAATGAAGATGGTAAAACTGACTTCATAGGATTGCTTTGAGGAGAAAAGCAGATAAAATGTGTAGTAACTAGCCATTGCAGAGACCGATACAGAGTCGTTGCTCAGCCGATGAGTGTTCCTGTGATTATAATTGTTTGATTTACATAGCTAGTTCAACCGTCTCTTTGGGGGGATTAGACTCTGAATGCACTTTTGGAAAAAAAATCAAACGTTTTATTATGTGTATGTGGGTAATACAAGGTACAAAATTCAAAGTGTACAAACATTAGGCGATGGAAATGAAAACTTCTTTCTTCCCTTGCTCCTCTGCTGCTCATTTTTCTCCCCGGAGATAACTGGTATGACCAGGATCTTGTATATTTACAGATTTAATTATATTTCTTGGAGATAGGTTCATAACAATACATTGGTTCCTGCTGCATCACTTTCATTTTTGAATGATTACATGGCGTTCCATTGACTGGATGTATCATAATTGATTTAGCCAGTCTCCTATTGGTTAACATTTGTTTCTAATCTTTGGCCATAACAACAATGCAGCAAACACCCTCCTTGTGCTCAGCTTTGACTAAGGATAATTAAACCAAAGGCAGCTCCAGGCAACATCATTGGAACAAGGTGACTGGTTGGAAGCAGAGAATGATGACCCGATTCTGGATTGTTTTCTCAAAATACATCTCACTATTCTATTCCTGGAATATTCATACTATTCCTCAAATGCTACCTACTAGAAAAGTGCAGTGTCTGCATAACAATATTACAAGAACTGCCCAGCTGGCATGGCTTAGTGGTTGAGTAAATATGAACCAGGAGGTCACGGTTTGACTCAAGGTCGAGCCGTAGGCCCAGGCAGGCTTG